TAAAAAAAAGACAGATGATAAAAAAAAATCATCCATGTGCTTGTAAAACTAGAATTGTAAAAAAAGATGGCAGGCGCTGCAACTGTAAAGGATGAAAACATTGACATGCAAAATGTTTGCAGCATGTGATATTACACAGTGAGCTAGTTTATCAATTATGAGCATACGTCTAAAACAAATGAGACAAACTAATCTCACTTTGAACAATGGAAGCCCAAGAAGTGCGTTTGTGAGAAAAAATTTATTATTCAATAACAGAAACAATGATAAAAATTACTTTATTGTCAATCCCTAAAATGCTTCCAAATGAAAAAGATTAAAGCTGTGAGTTTGATATTGAAACTGATCAACTTTATTCTTTTCTCTTTAGATTGCCCTAAGAAAGTTTCATTTCAACTAATATTACTGATGAGGAAATTTTGCATGCAGAGAAAAGAAACCTTCAGTGACTCCTGAGGTACAAAGAAACCAATTTAGAAGGCTGTCCTTGTTGACCTATGACTCCCACAAGTCAAATTGCCTTAGTCTGTTAATAAAATTGGCTTCTCAATGCTTCAACATTTGCTGGAGTCTTCACCTCACCAGATCTTTGTTCATTTCTATGCACCTTTTAGGCAGATAAAGTCATGCCAGAACAAATTAGACATTGCAAATACAATATCTCTGTAGAGAGCCTTCATCATGCATTATGGGCATTTATTTTTCCTTCTCTTTTCATACCTAAGATGACTGGAAAAAGGCGACATGTCCCCTTCAGGTTGGAAGAGAGTTTCTGCCTCAAGTATCGTGAGGAAGGAGAATAGAGCAATAGACAGATCTGTGCAGCTACTGCTATAATGCAGACGCTGCGTTGGTCTGTTGTGGTGAAGAGGGAGCTGAACGAAAAGCCAAAGCTCTCCATTTACTTGTGGTTCTATGTTCCTACCCTCATCATGACCAGAAGAACAAGATCCTGGATACAAGCGACTAAAATTAGCTTTCTCAATAGGGTGGGCAATTCCTTAGGGATAGGGTTAGGAGCTTGGTCATCTGGGAGATGCTCAGAATAGAGCTTCTTCTCTCCTGCCTTGAGAAGAGTCCGCTGAGGTGGTTCCGACTTTTTCGATTGCCCGCTGGACGCCTCGCTCAGAAGGTGTTCCAGGCACATCCTACCAGGAGGCGTCCCAGGGGACAACCCAGGACCCATTGGAGGGACTATGTCTCTCGGATGGCCTGGGAGTACCTCAGGCTTCACCCAGCAGAGCTGGGGGAGGCATTTGTGGAGAGGGAAGTCTCTGGTGAGACTGCTGCCCCCTTGACCCGGTCCAGGATAAAGCAGAAGACGACACGTACATAAAATATATGTACGAGTCTTAAGAAGATCATTTACCAAACTTATTTCAGGTAACCTTGGATGCCTGCTGTATCTGTTAGATCCAAACGGGATGCAGGGTGACTAGGGGCAAATGATAGGCAGCTATACGAGTCCCCTCCAGGCCAAACCCCTCTCGGTAACCATGATTAAGAGGGTTACTCACCATTGTACTTGACAACCAGTACAAGCTATTCTGCTATCTATTAAAGCTGATTAATATTTACATAAACACAATTACAAATACTAATATCCAACTATAAAAGTTACATTCAGAAGCTAAAACACCCAAGACAAACAGGTCCTCACACACTGGGGAAATTTCCTCATCCTATTACAATCCTATTACATCCTATGAGATCGTTAACAGGTCAACCTCAGGCTCTAAGACATGGATTATTTTCTCTGTGTCTCTCTGGATGATCTAATTCTGCTAAACAGCCAAGTTAGGTCTGAGGGCGTACAAGATCATGGAGAGCGTATGAGGTCCTGCCGCACACTCAAGAGTATTTTATCTGCAAAAAACAAAAAGTGTGAGAATTAACTTGGACAAGGCCAGAAAAAACCTAAGTGTTCTAGAGAGCTGAACAGGATAGTCTGATGCAGTGAGAGCCTTTCTGGTGATGCTGATCTGCACAGAGAGGACAGAGTGGGGGGTTTCTGGTCCTCTGCCAGTCTGGTATAAAGATTCAGTGTGTGAGGGGACTTACAGTACCCCCTTCTCTCTTCTCTTTCCCTTCTCTCCCTCTTTCTCTCTCAGCATAGACATTAAATCAACAGACTGTCAGTCAGCAGGCAGCGGCCACTTTAATTCCCCTCCTTATTCATACACTCATGACTTTACTGTCACTCCTAAAACCTACAAAGAATTTTCTCAAATAAATTCACATTTTGAAAATGTGACCTTCATTACATAAGTGTGAAACGAGAGCACAATTTGAACAATGCAAAAACTTTATAGGCTGTTTGCAAGTGTGTGATCTTCTTATGAGACCTTTCTTTACCTCAAAAATTATAGGAGCTAGGGGACCAACAGGACCCCTCCCTTTTAAAAGCCCCCATCTCTGCCAGATGTTAACCTGAATGTTAGACATGACATGACTGTGTACATGGTAGAAAAGTACGAAATTGAACGTTTACCAGGGCAGTGTAGCGTGCACGCAGCGACTGTACGTTTGCGTGCCTGCACATATTTTTATCCCTCGCTGCAGACCCTTTTGCTTCATTACCGAACAACAAAAGTTTTTCGAAGAAGCAGTGTGTGCGAACGGCCGAGTGAACATGTGTGTTTGTGCGAGTATGTGTCATGCAGCCAACATGTGGTTCAGATTTCCTATGAGGCCACATGTGCAAATACACAGCAAGCCAGAGAAGCTGGATCTCAGTGGGATCGGCTCAAGTCCTGCAGCAAAACACTGAAAAACAGCCGTTTGCTTCTACTCAAGAGTAAATGTCTTCATATAATTCTTTGACTAAGCACTGGTGTTATATCCTAATAACTAAATAACTTCAGGTAGAACTATTGAACATCAATAACATGATTTTACTGCTTTTATTATTGAAAGAAAAGTAACAAAGCAACAAGTGTGAAAGACGGATTGGTGTTGCTGCCACTATGATGCAGATGCTATATCGATCCATTTAGGTAAAGAGAGAGCTGAGCAAAAAGGCTTTTGGTTTACCGGTCAGTGTTTGTTCAAACCCTGACCTATGGTCAGGATATCTGCATCCTGAACAAAAGAAAGAGATACCGTATACAAGTGTCCGAAATCAGCTTTCTCACCAGTCTGTCTGAGCACTACCTAAAGGTTCATTCACAACAAACAAGATCTCCCGGGTTTCTTTTTAAACCTTTAGAGCAGGGGTAACCAATTAAAAATCAGCCGCGTCCGAATAAAGAAAATCAATAACCAGTAAAGGTCCGAACACACTTTTAATCATAATCTGTTACTTAAAACAGAATTTAACACTGAAATAAATTGCGGTGTTTATGCATCAATGTTATACATTGAATTTTTAAATAAAAAATAAAAAAGAATATATATTTCTAAATCTAAAGTGTTTTTTGAAGTAGAGAACAACAATCGTTCAGTTTGGTTTATAGATAATTTCCTGATTCACATCTTTTTTATAAAACACCTGAACTGACTGTTATTTTTTTTTTCTTTCTTTTTTATGGCTTAATGAGAGCAGTGGACTTTATGCTGCCCTACAAAGCTTTAAACCTGGGTTTGAATGGCGACAAAGCCATTCTAAAGCACATATCAAGGTGCTCATTTTGAGCCTGGATCCATATTTATTTTTTATTATTGTCATAATGGAGAAATCTGCTTCAAAGCAGCAGGTTGAGCCAAACATACTCAAAATGTGCAGGGTCATCTTTCATTTTTCTGTCACCAGTTCACTGAGCTTCTTCAAGCAGTCCACACTTTCTCTGCCCTTTTTTTCTTATCGTCCAGATTTGGACCTACCTGTTCGCTAATCCGGACCCGACTTGATCAGCCAACAGGTGGGTCCGGATCTGGACCACAGTCTGCTAATTCATGACATCTGCTTTAGAGTTTAACTCCTTTATATTTGTTTATTTTTCATATGCAGACAGCTCTGCAGAAGAGATCCTGGTTCAACTTTTCTGATAGGTTGACGCTTCAGTGTCCAGTGGCAAAAGTTAAAATTTTGAAATCCAGCAATATGCGCTCGGATGCTCAGATGACACAATGCTCAGATGAACGACTCCCGATGCTCGGACACGTCATTGGAACTCTCGATGTTAGACTTTGCATGTAAATCAGATGCTTTGATTCAGAAAATGTGTTCGGTGTACACATTAGATATAGGATGAGTTGAACCGCCATCATAGAGAGGCTTGGAGTAGAACCACATCTGCTTCCAATGAAGAAGAGTCAGCTAAGGTGGCTTGGACAAACTTTTTCAAATGCCCAGGAGGCGGTTCAGAGTTTGACAGAGTTTACCACACACTGGACATCTTTTGAGATAACAGGTGTGAGTAAAAATGCTGCACACCGGTCTCTCTGTGCGCTCAGAGTGGTAACTGCGTGCTCAGGACGGTGGCACAGAAAATACGCCATAATTGGATAGCTAGTTAATAATAATAAGAAGAATAAATGAACTTTATTGATCTTACATATGAGAAATTTACCTCTGCATTAGCCGATCCCCTTGGGGAGCAGTGGGCTGCCATTGTGCGGCGCCCAGGGAGCAATTGGGGGTTAAGCGCACTCCCCCAGTTAGTTAGGCTATCTGTATGGGTAGCAAGCAAGCAGCTGGCTACTACACACGCATGATGCTCTATTTTCATTAGTTGAGGGATTAAAAGTTCTTTCAGTTTTCAAACTAAGAATGTGTTTCAGTCAATTAGGCATATTTTTTTAAGCCAAATGAGTCTATTTTTCAAGAAAGAAAAAAGTTTGGTAGCCTTTTAATAAGGCAAGGTATAGCAACACCTCAGGGCTGATGTACTTTATGGTTCATAAAATCAGAGAAATCCCCAGTCTACACTTCCAGGGGAAAATCTATTACAGGTACTTTAAACAGTTTAAATGGTACAAGGAGCACCATCAGCAAATTTAAAACTCTAACATTTTGCCTCGACAGCTGTTACCGTTACATATGGCATTCACATTCTTACCCATGCTCATCTTGATTGGCAGCTTTTCTTTGGTGGCCGCCTCTACCAGGTGACGACGCACTTCCATCAAAGCCTCTTTATGTTTGCTTGTAAGCATCGACTCCCAGAGTACCCTCACAGAGGACGACCTGGGGGGGAATAAGAATCCCACAAGTTTAGAAATTTTTTCTAAAAGAGGCAAAATGGTGATCTATTCCAGCTGGATGAAAAGTAGCTTTTCTTGGTTTTTCCACACAGAGTTTGGATTTAATCGAGAGCTTGTCTTACTGACAAACTCCCACCTGATCAGAGAGAAAAATGTTATATCCATCCAGCAAAAACTGCTTTGGTGGTAATATTCTTTAGGCATGGTCGATGCCTAAAGATATTCTCTACCATGCAGTCCCATTGACCTTCTCAATCCCTCCCTCATTATCTACTATGGCTAAAAATAAGCTGATCTACAGCTTTGATGGATGAGTGACACAGTGGTCATGTGCAGGGCAAACACATGTGCTACCAGCAAAAACAAATTCATATAAAGGATCAGACAATTTTCAGAGGAGCCTTATTGTCATAAAATTCAGAACTGCTTTTCAAAGAGGCTTGTATCAGGTCTTCAGTAGGGCTGTGGGGAAAAAAAAATCAATATGGTGATATATCGTGAGTTTTGGCTGCCCGATATAATATCGATCTTTCAGTTCCTAATTTAAATTTTAAAAGAACAAAAATTTCAACCTAAAATAATGAGGGAAAATGAGCCATGTCTGCACCGCCACTCTAGCAGATAGAGCTGTGGAGCCCTTTTGCTGTGCGGTGCAACACCATATCTGTAGTCAAGGCAGTCACAGTGGAAGACGTGGACCGACTCAAACACCTTGGATACTAGAATAACCAAATTGTCAATAGCTTCTGATAAACAGTTAAGGCACTTGCTTTTTTATCTATAAATTTAATTTTGATAGCTGAGAAAAATGTTGCAATATAAAGCGATATTACAATATAGTGATAATATCGCACTGTAACCAAAGTATCAGGACACGTATCGTATTGCAACACATGCTAATACTTACCCCTGTCTTCAGGCCATAGAGCCCTTTCATATCCATGTCCCAATATGTAACTTTTTCAACATTTTTAAACACAACAAAATGCCTATAGCTGGGACCGATTGTAAAATCTATCCTAACACATTTTATGATTTCTGTTGAAAACAATCAGGTAGTGTTAAGTATTGGTCGTAAACTCAAACCATGCAGGGCAGCTGTCCTGCAAATTTTAGATGTGACCCTAGCCTGAAATACCTGAATCAAATGGCCCAACTACCTCTGTAGCAACAGCCAAACTCTATAGAGCTCTGTTAAGGAGCTGATACTAGAATCGGCTGTGCTAAAATTGCAGAAAACGGACCCTTCATAACCTGAGTTAAAGATCCCTTTGCTATATTATTACATGTTTTTTTAAATATAAAATTTTTTTTCATGTAGAAATTAAAAAAGAAATCCTTAAATCCTGAATTTGGAGCTGGGGGGTTAAGGAAGATAAAGCTAAAAAACACACCTGCATCTTGACAGATCGTTTTATTTTCTTGCTTTGAGCTAAATACCTGCTTAGCAGTTCACTGTGGCTTTAGAGGAGCAGCTGCTATTTGCGTCCTCAATAAAGACTAGGGGAATAAAAGCAATAATGCTGTGCACACATCAAAAAAACAATATATAGCATGGACTTATTTACAATAGAAAAATAAATAAATTATATACATGACATTGTGATTACACCAGTGAGCAGAAGGAGTAGCAATTAGATATTTTTCTATTATATATTAATTCAAAGAACCAAAGGAGTTTTTTATTCACCTTTGGTGACTTAGGATAAAGAATTCTGCAAAGAAAACATAAAACTATTGACTTTTCACATTGAATAATAGTTAATTCCCTGTAATACAAATATTTAGCTTTGATGTTTTTACTCAAAAATGTACTGCAGCTACAAACTAAAGAAGCAGGAATGGAAAGGAGAAAAATTAAACCATGAAAGGAGAAAAAAATGGAGGGAGGAGGGACATCGTTGACAATTCCACTCCGCTTTTCTTTTGCTTTCTTGTCTTTTTTCTAAACTTTGTTTTTTTCCCCCTCCTCTCGCCTTTTCTCCCTTCTAACTGCTGCCATGTGTTTAATATCAGATGTAATGTGTTCCAGACCTTGGGCTGGGGGTGGATGATGGGGAATGGGCTCACGCTGGGACGACCGCCATTTTCACACCAGAACTAGACATCGAGACTTTCAAAGACAACTAGAGCCCACAAATAATTTAGTTTATAGTAAAGTTAAAAAGGACTGTCAAAAACGATGTTATAAATTCGGATTTTAATTAAAAAAAGACCTGGTAGATAAAGATTAATTTTAAGTTCTTGGACTAAAGCCATTGGTCAAAACTTTGACAGCGAGCCACAAATCTAGAAAACAGGTCTTTTATCGTGGAGTGAAAATAAGTCCCTCGCCCATGTTGATGTTGATAAATGTTCTGATTACATAAGTAATGAAGTTTCACATGTTAGCCATATTTGAAATACCAGCAACATAATCTGACCGGGACACGTTCAAGCAGCCATGAGTGCTTTTGCATCTGAGGATGAGTACACATGCATCTGTATATATTTGCACACAGTCCAATGCGTCTGTGTGTGTTCTTGGAAGTTAGAGGGGCTTTGACAAGTGTGGATGACACATTTCCTTTTGGCTTCTCGCCCACCCCCACAGCCCAGGCCCCTTCTCCGTCCATGCAGCCAACCGATCAGATGAAGGTGGGGGTTAGGCTTACTTTGGCAGGGTGTGAGACGAGCTCCTTAACCAGCCAGAAATCTTGCTGAGTAACAACTAAACTATTGAGGGTGGGGGTGTGGGAAGCTGGTTTGCGTGTGCTTGGACATCTGCGTGGCTGTATGCAATCTTGGAGAGCAGCCTCACTCATTAGTAAAAATTGCCAAGAATTAACTGAAGGGGGCACTCTTGTTCTTGGCTTGTGTGCACCCTGGTATAGTACCCCTCTGGTTTGCAGAGTCAGGTTAAGCCAGTGTTTCAGGGGAGTGTGAGCCCACCTAAACCTCATCAGTGCCTCTAGAAATAAGTGACGTAGCATTAAAAGGTTGTGACAAATCTAAAGCCAGAGCTTAAAAGACAATACGGCCCCCTGAAGCGCCTCATTCCGCATTTACAGTAGATCACTGGTGACTGCTGGAATGAGGAGGGGGAGAGCTATTCCTGGCAGAGTGCAAGGCTAAAGGAAAGAATGCTTCAACATGTCCTGACTCACTATTTCCTTGATTTATTATTTATTCTTTAGCAATGTATTACTTTTTCAAAACCACACAGGAAACACTGTGTAAATCTGTACTAAAATTTACTTCTATATGAAGTAGAAATATTCCTGATAAAGCATTAAAAGAGGACAGCAATAACATTTCCAACCGTTTTAGAACCATAAATGACAATATATCATGTTCAGTTAAACTGAGAAAAAAGAAGCAATAGCAGAGAAAATTAACTTACCATTCAACAAAGAGATAAATTTATTTACCAGTAAACAGTTTAAGTCTTAAAATAAATTCACATTTTATTGCACATGGCATTAAAGTTTACTGAATCATTTGCTTCAGTTCTTCATTGCTGAGACTTAGAGGGTGTTTACAGTCCGACTAGCCATTAATGGAGGCAATATAGATAAGTATTATCTGTTTTCAATAATTGTTTTTATCACAGATATTGGTAAAATTGAAGCAGGAAGTCGTTTCCTAACTTATCAGGACCAAAACACATCTGCCTTGCATTAACTGCATTTCCACTGACAAACCAATGGTGCATATTGGAATTGAGTAAGTCAATTTGTTTGACTAAAACATGCCAATTAAAAAAAAAGGAAAGAAAAGAAAAGCATACAAATAATGTATGTTTTTTAATAAAAAGGTTTATGCATTAGGATAAAGCGTTTTTCTGGCTGTACAAGCATTAAAGTATTTTACAAAGCCGCAATAGAAATACTTTTTTTATTTCCTATGAGTAAAGTGATCAACCAAATGTCTCCCTTTCTGACTACCAAATTAAACCCCGTGGAAAATGTAAACCTATAGCCTACTATTTTAACATACTTTTGAAATATACCCTTTACATTTACCATGAAAGAGTATCCATCCATTTACTTCAGGATATTTAATGGAAAGTATAAACTGGGCTACTGTGTTCTTTATGGTCAAGCATTGTTTTTTAGTAGTCTCTCAGCAGTACATGCCATTTTTTTTAATTCCTGTTTCGATTTATTTGGGTAATTTTTCTGATCATATATATTTCAATTGTGTTGCAAAAATGCAAAGATTAAGAAGGTAAATTACTTCACAAAACTATGATTACCACATTAAAATTATATAGTTTAAAGTTTTCTATTAAAGATTTTTTACAGTTAAAATTGCTTTTTATTCTATTTTTTTTTCATTATAATTAACGGTTTCAAAATGCAGAGCCAGCAATTTCTCGAAAAAAAATTCTTTGCATGTTTTTTATTCCAACAAAAATAATAATTCGGAGCAGGAGCTAGATATAATAAATATAGTCTGAGTGTTCTGCTGCTGTAAATTATGAAATTATCAGAGGTGTTAACAAATGTAAAGAAGGACAGTTATTTGTTTACGTGTAATCTAAAATTAAGGTAAGACATTAGTGTTTTAACATTGTTGTGATTGGCTGCTCAGTTAAGTGTCTTTCACAAACTACTGTTCGCTCAGATTCAGACTTCAGAACTGGTCTTCATAGCTGCACACCATGCTGGCAGAGCTGACAATGGAGCAGCATGATATTCAACATTACAAGGTCAACTTTGCTTGCTGATTATTCAGTTTGTGGACTTAAATGGCATAAAGGGAAGACACTGTTGGTTTCTGGTAAATGTCCTCCTGTAAATATTCTCCTTCAGCTAAAATGAAAATATGGGTGGGGAAAGAGAATGTGTTGGACTAGAGGTGGACCTGGCCTTGGGTTTCTTTGTATTTCCTGACAAAGAAGAACAAATGACCCGTCTATGCGGCAAAAAGAAGAGTTATAAACTCCACAGTAAAGTGAGGATAAGGAAGCGCATAACAAAAAAAGATGTAACTGACCAG